CGGTCAAGCGGCTTAACACCACGTGGCGTGGGGGTCGGCTAAAGTAATAGCTCTTGGGTCCCTTGGTTTGAAGAAAGTTAAATCAGGATACGAACGAGGGTGAAGGAGAGTAAGAAGGAACGACCCCCCTCCCCACCGTGCTACACCCATAACACACACACCCACACCAAACACTACACACCAAACATTACTCAGACAAGACACTGAACACCGAGGTAAACTGTCTCGGAACTACACCTCATTAACCTGGAAAAAGGCAAGATAAGAGTAGACATGATCACGACATATGAGATTCTTAGAGGAGAACGGAAGTGGCTAGCACAGTGGTGGATATTAACATCTCAGACAATCCTTCACACTAACACCTGCCTGTTACCTGTGTTGACCTTCACACTAACACCTGCCTGTTACCTGTGCTGACCTTCACACTAACACCTGCCTGTTACCTGTGTTGACCTTCACACTAACACCTGCCTGTTACCTGTGTTGTCCTTCACACTAACACCTGCCTGTTACCTGTGTTGACCTTCACACTAACACCTGCCTGTTACCTGTGTTGACCTTCACACTAACACCTGCCTGTTACCTGTGTTATCCTTCACACTAACACCTGCCTGTTACCTGTGTTGACCTTCACACTAACACCTGCCTGTTACCTGTGTTGACCTTCACACTAACACCTGCCTGTTACCTGTGTTGACCTTCACACTAACACCTGCCTGTTACCTGTGTTGACCTTCACACTAACACCTGCCTGTTACCTGTGTTGACCTTCACACTAACACCTGCTTGTTACCTGTGTTGACCTTCACACTAACACCTGCCTGTTACCTGTGTTGACCTTCACACTAACACCTGCCTGTTACCTGTGTTGACCTTCACACTAACACCTGCCTGTTACCTGTGTTGACCTTCACACTAACACCTGCCTGTTACCTGTGCTGACCTTCACACTAACACCTGCCTGTTACCTGTGCTGTCCTTCACACTAACACCTGCCTGTTACCTGTGTTGACCTTCACACTAACACCTGCCTGTTACCTGTGCTGACCTTCACACTAACACCTGCCTGTTACCTGTGCTGACCTTCACACTAACACCTGCCTGTTACCTGTGTTGACCTTCACACTAACACCTGCCTGTTACCTGTGTTGACCTTCACACTAACACCTGCCTGTTACCTGTGCTGACCTTCACACTAACACCTGCCTGTTACCTGTGTTGACCTTCACACTAACACCTGCCTGTTACCTGTGTTGACCTTCACACTAACACCTGCCTGTTACCTGTGCTGACCTTCACTAACACCTGCCTGTTACCTGTGTTGACCTTCACACTAACACCTGCCTGTTACCTGTGTTGACCTTCACACTAACACCTGCCTGTTACCTGTGTTGACCTTCACACTAACACCTGCCTGTTACCTGTGTTGACCTTCACACTAACACCTGCCTGTTACCTGTGTTGACCTTCACACTAACACCTGCCTGTTACCTGTGCTGACCTTCACACTAACACCTGCCTGTTACCTGTGCTGACCTTCACACTAACACCTGCCTGTTACCTGTGCTGACCTTCACACTAACACCTGCCTGTTACCTGTGTTGACCTTCACACTAACACCTGCCTGTTGACCTTCACACTAACACCTGCCTGTTACCTGTGCTGACCTTCACACTAACACCTGCCTGTTACCTGTGCTGACCTTCACACTAACACCTGCCTGTTACCTGTGCTGACCTTCACACTAACACCTGCCTGTTACCTGTGTTGACCTTCACACTAACACCTGCCTGTTACCTGTGTTGACCTTCACACTAACACCTGCCTGTTACCTGTGTTGACCTTCACACTAACACCTGCCTGTTACCTGTGTTGACCTTCACACTAACACCTGCCTGTTACCTGTGTTGACCTTCACACTAACACCTGCCTGTTACCTGTGTTGACCTTCACACTAACACCTGTGTTCAATAACCATTGTATCTGCCCTTCAGGAAGGTCTTAAGCACAGTGGTCTACGTCCTCTACTCGCAACAGAGGATCAGGATTCAAACACCGGCCAGAACAGGCACACGTGATCACGTTTCCTTTCATCTTTATATATAATATATATATATATATATATATATATATATATATATATATTATATATGTCGTACCTAGTAGCCAGAACGCACTTCTCTGCCTACTATTCAAGGCCCGATTTGCCTAATAAGCCAAGTTTTCATGAATTAATTGTTTTTCGACTACCTAACCTACCTAACCTAACCTAACCTAACTTTTTAGGCTACCTAACCTAACCTATAAAGATAGGTTAGGTTAGGTTAGGTAGGGTTGGTTAGGTTCGGTCATATATCTACGTTAATTTTAACTCCAATAAAAAAATTGACCTCATTCATAATGAAATGGGTAGATTTATCATTTCATAAGAAAAAAATTAGAGAAAATATATTAATTCAGGAAAACTTGGCTTATTAGGCAAATCGGGCCTTGAATAGTAGGCTGAGAAGTGCGTTCTGGCTACTAGGTACGACATATATATATATATATATATATATATATATATATATATATATATATATATATATATATATATATATATATATATATTTATTTATTTATTTATATACCATATATAGTATATATATACTATGGTCCTCATATATCGTATATATATACTTTGGTTCTCATCGTTACTATAAGTACTACCAAATACAGGAGACTTAACATTTTCTTTAGTCCTCCATAGAATATTATTACAGAAAACTGGCTTCCTTTCAGTTCTCATAAAAAATGTTACAATCCTATAGGACTAACTAAAACAAAAAACAAGTTCCAGAAATTGGCATTTTATAAAGTAAATAATTATAAAATTTAGTTATATATTTATTTATTTATTTATGCATATACAAGAAGGTACATTGGGATTGTGAGGATACATAATATGGTAATTACAATCTTGTAAAGCCACTAGTACGCGCAGCGTTTCGGGCAGGAAATGGCCAACTCCGAAGTATTTTGAACAGACAGAACAAAAATAGTCCCAAGAAAACGGCGGTTACACGACCATTAATGAAAATTACGACAATATTTACAAAAATATTTTCCAGGGCTAAACCTGAAACACTTAAACTCTTGAGATTTCCTTTCACCTAATGCTGCTGTTCACCCAGCGGTGAGTGGGAACCCAGGAGTTTTTCAGCTTGTTGTGGGGTGGAAATGAGGGGGGGGGGGGGACATTGATATATCGTGTATGCAAACCCTCTGGCTTCCTGTCCCCCAGACACAAAGAATTAATCCTAGGCAGGGCGAGCCAGCAGGGCACGTCTCCAATCACCTGATGATGCTGTTCACCCAGCAGCAAACAGGTACTTTGGACTTAGTCGACTGTTGTGGGTCATTTCCGAGAAATGGTCACATATCCTCCGCGCGCACACACGCGCGCACACACGCGCGCGCGCACGCACACACGCGCGCGCGCACGCACACACACACACACACACACACACACACACACACACACACACACACACACACACACACACACACACACACACATTCTCCTGTCTCCTGTCACTGGAAACAGGAGACTTACCAGAAAGTTGGAAGACAGCTAACGTGGTCCCAATATACAAAAAGGGTGACAGGCAAGAGGCACTGAACTACAGGCCAGTTTCCTTAACTTGTATACCATGCAAGGTGATGGAGAAGATCGTAAGGAAAAGGCTCGTAGAGCATCTGGAGGGAAATAACTTTGTAACGCACCACCAACATGGGTTCAGAGATGGTAAATCGTGCCTCACAGGTTTAATAGAATTTTATGACCAGGCAACAAAAATTAGGCAGGAAAGAGAAGGGTGGGCCGACTGCATTTTCCTGGATTGCCAAAAAGCCTTTGACACAGTACCCCATAAAAGGCTGTTTAAAAAGTTGGAGCAACAGGCAGGAGTAAAAGGGAAGGTGCTCCAGTGGATAAGGGAGTACTTAAGCAACAGGAAACAGCGAGTAACGGTGAGGGGGGAGACATCAGAGTGGCGAGATGTCACCAGCGGAGTCCCACAGGGCTCAGTACTTGGACCCATCCTGTTTCTAATATATGTGAACGATCTTCCAGAGGGTATAGACTCGTTCCTCTCGATGTTTGCTGATGATGCATGGCTGCTAAAGTTCAACTCAGGAAAGTGTAAGGTGATGAAATTAGGCGAAGGGAGCAGGAGGCTGAACACAAGGTATCATCTGGGAGGGGAAATCCTGCAAGAGTCAAATAGAGAGAAGGATCTGGGGGTTGATATCACACCGAACCTGTCCCCAGAGGCCCACATCAAAAGAATATCATCAGCGGCATATGCTAGACTGGCCAACATAAGAACTGCCTTTAGAAACTTGTGTAAGGAATCTTTCAGAACCCTGTATACCACTTATGTCAGACCAATCCTGGAGTATGCAGCTCCAACCTGGAGTCCATACCTAGTTAAACACAAGACAAAGTTAGAGAAGATTCAGCGGTATGCCACCAGACTCGTCCCGGAACTGAGAGGATTGAGCTACGAGAAAAGGCTAAAGGAGCTGAACCTCACGTCCCTGGAAAACAGAAGAGTAAGGGGAGACATGATAACCACCTACAAAATTCTCAGGGGAATTGACAGGGTGGACAAAGACAAACTCTTCAGCACGGGTGGGACACGAACAAGGGGACACAGGTGGAAACTTAGTACCCAGATGAGCCACAGAGACGTTAGAAAGAATTTTTTCAGTGTCAGAGTAGTTAATAAATGGAATGCACTAGGAAGTGATGTGGTGGAGGCTGACTCCATACACAGTTTCAAATGTAGATATGATAGAGCCCAGTAGGCTCAGGAATCTGTACATCAGTTGATTGACAGTTGAGAGGCGGGACCAAAGAGCCAAAGCTCAACCCCCGCAAGCACAATTAGGTGAGTACACACATAGTTTGTGTGAACAAATCCACAAGGACCGTGATGAGGATTCGAACCTACGAAAAACTTAAAAGTGCATAGTGTACTTACCGAGTTGGCTTCCTGGTGGAGGAGGGAGAGTCTGGAGGCTCGGTGATCCATCGCCAGACTGGAGACGGCCTCCAGCGTCTTCACCAGCTCCTCACACTCACTCATCCAACACCTGTCAATCACCGGGGCAATACACTAATAATCATTATAATAAAAGTAAAAATAGTCTTGCCAATAGATGGCGACCAAACCATAGTATTGCCAATAGATGGCAACCAAACCATAGTATTGCCAATAGATGGCAACCATACTATTCTTACATTTTTGTAAAATCTATTACACACAAAAATCACAATAGCATGATGCATCAAATGAACAAATTTGTTCTCTTGTAAAGTCTATGTTTCTCTCGAGCGGAACTGAAGTGGTTGGGCATTTGTTCTTTCGCTTAATGTCTTTGTTCACCTGGCAGAAAATAGGTAACTGGGAATTACGAAATTCGTTTGCCAGAAACGCTGTGCATATTAGTGGCATTAGGCATAGTATATACTAGGTCTTACCTAGAGATACAACAGAATGTTGTATTTCTTAGAACATATTTATAAACTGTTGTGGGGAATGATTTATTATTTATAAACTGTTGAGGGGTTGCATCTTGAGAAACGTTTGTAATGGGTCTACGTAAAGCTTGATAAGCCTAAATACACGCTTCCTTCCCTGACAACAAGAATTAAATAAGACTTTACTTATTATGAAACACTTAATCACTTGAAGCATCTTACTTTCTAACATCTTATGAAACAGAACAATCCCAGTGCTACCTAGCTCAAGCCTGTTATTATTAACAACTTTCTACTGTGCACTGCCTCACATGGACAGGGATGGGTTCATAAGGGATGCAGCTTAGAAGTAATATAAATAAAATAGTTCTTCATTCTTAAAAATGGACAAGCAAATTTAGGATAAATAGTTAGGATGTCGTTCAGAACACCTGAGTCAATGACATAGCTACACAGTTGGTGGTACAAGAGGCCAGGAGGTCTAAAGTCCTTCACGGTTTCACATTCAACATTGTAGTGTTCTAGTGAGTGCATTAAAGGTTTATCACAGAGTTTACAATCTGAGTATTCTGGTAGTGGCTCAGCTTCACTAACCTGCCAGATGTGCCTATAGCCAAGGGAACTACCACAATGACTACATCACATTGCCTGGTCCGGTTACTGGGCTGACCATAGCCAAGGGAACTACCACAATGACTACATCACATTGCCTGGTCCGGTTACTGGGCGGACCATAGCCAAGGGAACTACCACAATGACTACATCACATTGTCTGGTCCGGTTACTGGGCGGACCATAGCCAAGGGAACTACCACAATGACTACATCACATTGCCTGGTCCGGTTACTGGGCTGACCATAGCCAAGGGAACTACCACAATGACTACATCACATTGCCTGGTCCGGTTACTGGGCTGACCATAGCCAAGGGAACTACCACAATGACTACATCACATTGTCTGGTCCGGTTACTGGGCGGACCATAGCCAAGGGAACTACCACAATGACTACATCACATTGTCTGGTCCGGTTACTGGGCTGACCATAGCCAAGGGAACTACCACAATGACTACATCACATTGCCAGGATTTACTGGGCGCAATTCCTTAACTGTAGCCTCTGTTTAACGCAACAGTAAAATGTGTACTTGGATGAAAAAACGATTCTTCGCGGCAGGGGATCGTATTCCAGGGACCATAGGATTAAGGACTTGCCCGAAACGCTACGCGTACTAGTGGCTCTACAAGAATGTAACAACTCTTGTATATATCTCAAAAAAAAAAAAATTACAAAAGTTGTCATAGCTTTTATTACTGCAGCTTTCAGGTCTCTGGACATTTCTTAGTCCTTCTAAATCTGAAGTACTTTCCTTAATTTGCATGTTTCTAATAACTGCATTAGATGCACTTTAAAAATCACACAATATCATATATCCGGAAAATAATCCAGAGTTAAAAATTGTTAAGATAAACTTATAGAATAGTCTGCTCAGAAAATCTTATTTTCTGTCTCGAGTTTGATCAAAGAAAACGCAGCAGCTTCTTGCAGGACATACCTAACTAAAGAATGATTGTGAAGCCTTTGGCACCATTTCTCCATGTGCCGTAAGCTGGACTTGGCACTAGCGACGCAGTGGTGCATCTCCTGGACCTCCGTGGTGGTGGAGGGGGCCAGGGAGTGTGGGGGAGACAGTGAGGGAGAGGGAGACAGAGAGACACAAGTCTCCAACATTGTCGCACCCCGTCTGACTTGGTCCAACACTTCCACCCGGATCTGTCATATGATAAGAATTTACAAATTTTACAAAACTGGCTTGAAAATATATATTAAACTAAATTAAGTAATATATATATATATATACCACCTTTAGTACAACTGTGGAGACCCATGGCCTCGGAAATGTAAATAAGAAGCATTCAGTGAAATGTTGCAAAACAGTGTGAATATTGCATGAACAACACGTGTATGGGCAGCCACCTTGCAGAAGACGGACCAGGCGTGGTGGTCCAGCTGTAAGGTGCCACCAAACTGAGGCGTCAACTGGTCCTCTGGCACTCTCTCGTGTAGCTGCTCCTCACTCACCAACTCCACCTAAAACATTCACATAATGCAGTCTTGTATCATACAATAATATTCTTAAAATATCCTTAAATAGTTCCTGCAGGAATATCCTTACACAATACTCTATATCATCACAATGGTAAAAAAGGGCAAAATAATTTAATATAGCAACATGGAAGTCTGTTATATATATATTATACATATTATATATATATATATATATATATATATATATATATATATATATATATATATATATATATATATATATATATATATATATATATGCGAACAAGCCTGAATGGTCCCACAGGACTATATGCAACTGAAAACTCTTTAGTTATTTATATATATATATATATATATATATATATATATATATATATATATATATATATATATCAAATCAAATATATAAATCAAACTATGAATTATCAAAATAGTTCTGGTCTAAATGTTATAAGGCCTGTAATCAAATACTGAGGCACTGCAATGGGATCGAACCTGCATCCCTGACCCCTACAAGTACACTTGGGATCCAGGGAAGAGAGTTCGAGCTCATTCCAGTACCCCGCCTCAATATTTTCCTTGTGAGTTGACTGAGCATTGAAAGGTCAATACTTTTAGTACTAATTTTGGGTTGGAATCAATACATATATTTCAGTATTGAGATATGATGAAGAGACCGGCGTGACGAGGTCAAAGGTCACCCCAGAGATCACTGGTGTGACCTTTGAAACCAGAATCAATACAGGTTTCAACCGGTTTATGTGCAGGTGGAATTGGGTGGCAGATTAACTTCAGCTATTACAGTAGTTAAAACATCCCCCCCCCTCCCCCCTCCTTCCTCTCACTATTCCCCACTACCCCTGTCATCATCCTGCACCATCCCCTCTCCACCTCTCACCCTCCTCTTCTCTCACTACACACCTCACTAACACCGCTCTGCTTCCTACTTGTCACCGTCCATCTCCACACTGTTCCAAGAGTTTGTTCCTCCATGACTTTGTTTACCTTCCGTGCCGCCCGGTGGTGTCCACGGCTACTCCAGCACCGTCTTCTCCATTCCGGTCAAAATACGATGTATTTAATGATAGACCCAAGCCCACGCGTTTTCAAACGCCAAGATCACAGCGTTGTAAGCCTCAATAGTTTCCATTCATTTAACGACATGTGCGCGCGCGGGTCGATAGCCAGAGGCCCGGGGGGAGGGGGGGCTGGCTATCTAATAGTTGGGTAATTAATGTAAACGAGGTCATACTACTGACGCCAGATTCACGAAGCCGTTACTCAAGCACTTACGGACCTGAGGCCAGATTCACAAAGCAGTTACGCAACCACTTACGAACCCGAGGCCAGGTTCACGAATCGGTTACTCAAGCACTTACGGACCTAGGGCCAGATTCACGAAGCAGTTACGCAAGCACTTACGAACCTGGGGCCAGATTCACGAAGCAGTTACGCAAGCACTTACGAACGTGTAAATCTTTCCTCAATCTTTGACGGCTTTGGTTACATTTATTAAACAGTTTACAAGAATGAAAACTTGCCAATCAACTGTTGTTATTGTTATAAACAGCCTCCTGGTGCTTCGCAGCTCATTAACTGTTTAATAATTGTAAACAAGCCGCCAAAGATTGAGACAAGATGCACAGGTTCGTAAGTGCTTGCGTAACTGCTTCGTGAATCTGGCCCCAGGTCCGTAAGTGCTTGCGTAACTGCTTCGTGAATCTGGCCCCAGGTCCGTAAGTGCTTGCGTAACTGCTTCGTGAATCGGGCCCCAGGTTCGTAAGTGCTTGCGTAACTACTACGTGAATTTGGCTTCCGGTTCGTAAGTGCTTGCGTAACTGCTTCGTGAACCTGGCCCCAGAACCCAAGCAACCTACCTAACCTATCGAGGTCAAATCATAGAAAACGATACGACGTGTAGAAAGCAAGGAATTAGGCGAGAGGAAGCGATAAAGTAGGTGTGAATAGAGGCTTTAATCAATATGCTCACCCCGGGGCGACACGTGGTAATACGCTGACTGAGTGGCCCACAACACACTAGGGCGCCCAGAGGCTGTGAAAATTACCAGAGTTGTGTTATTAGTCAACTGAGAGTCTATTCCTGTAGCTAGGCCTATAGGGACTCTTGCTAGCACTTATATATCAATATATGTGTGTTGTCTGTCTGTCTGTCTGTCTGTCTGTCTGTCTGTCTGTGTCTGTCTGTCTGTCTGTGTGTGTGTGTCTGTCTGTCTGTCTGTCTGTCTGTCTGTCTGTCTGTCTGTCTGTCTCTCTCTCTCTCTCTCTCTCTCTCTCTCTCTCTCTCTCTCTCTCTCTCTCTCTCTCTCTCTCAGAGAGAGTGAGAGTGGGTGGGCAAGAAAGGTATTGACTAAGTCATTGCTGGCACACCTGTCAGCGCAGGTTAGATATAGATAGAAAGACGTAGGGGAATTTTAAACAAAACAGAAGCAGGTTTGGAGACAAAAAAGTCTTAGCCTTATGAAATGGCTGAGTACATTCACTGGCATTTATAAGACATAACTAGTACCGGTGCGTCTGCTTCCCAAGACTGGTCAGTGGGGCGACGGCCTCGCTGCTTGCAGGGTCGGAGTTCAATCCCCTATGGTCTAAGTGGTTGGGTACCATCCTTGTATCTCAGCTTCTGGACCTCCGATAATAGCTCTTTGTTCTCGTATCCCAGCTCCTTGTCCCCATATCCCAGCTCCTTGTCCTCGTATCCCAGCTCTTTGTTCTCGTATCCCAGCTCCTTGTCCTCATACCCCAGCTCCTTGTCCCCATATCCCAGCTCCTTGTCCTCATATCCCAGCTCCTTGTCCTCATATCCCAGCTCCTTGTCCTCGTATCCCAGCTCCTTGTCCTCGTATCCCAGCTCCTTGTCCTCGTATCCCAGCCCCTTGTCCTCATACCCCAGCTCCTTGTCCCCATATCCCAGCTCCTTGTCCTCGTATCCCAGCTCCTTGTCCTCATATCCCAGCTCCTTGTCCTCATATCCCAGCTCCTTGTCCTCATATCCCAGCACCTTGTCCTCATATCCCAGCTCCTTGTCCTCATATCCCAGCTCCGTGTCCTCATATCCCAGCTCCTTGTCCTCATATCCCAGCTCCTTGTCCTCATATCCCAGCTCCTTGTCCTCATATCCCAGCTCCTTGTCCTCATATCCCAGCTCCTTGTCCTCATATCCCAGCTCCTTGTCCTCATATCCCAGCTCCTTGTCCTCATATCCCAGCTCCTTGTCCTCATACCCCAGCTCCTTGTCCTCATATCCCAGCTCCTTGTCCTCATATCCCAGCTCCTTGTCCTCATATCCCAGCTCCTTGTCCTCATATCCCAGCTCCTTGTCCTCATATCCCAGCTCCTTGTCCTCATATCCCAGCTCCTTGTCCTCATATCCCAGCTCCTTGTCCTCATATCCCAGCTCCTTGTCCTCATATCCCAGCTCCTTGTCCTCATATCCCAGCTCCTTGTCCTCATATCCCAGCTCCTTGTCCTCATATCCCAGCTCCTTGTCCTCATATCCCAGCTCCTTGTCCTCATATCCCAGCTCCTTGTCCTCATATCCCAGCTCCTTGTCCTCATATCCCAGCTCCTTGTCCTCATACCCCAGCTCCTTGTCCTCATATCCCAGCTCCTTGTCCTCATACCCCAGCTCCTTGTCCTCATACCCAGCTCCTTGTCCTCATACCCCAGCTCCTTGTCCTCATACCCCAGCTCCTTGTCCTCATACCCCAGCTCCTTGTCCTCATACCCCAGCTCCTTGTCCTCATATCCCAGCTCCTTGTCCTCATACCCCCAGCTCCTTGTCCTCATACCCCAGCTCCTTGTCCTCATACCCCAGCTCCTTGTCCTCATACCCCAGCTCCTTGTCCTCATACCCCAGCTCCTTGTCCTCATACCCCAGCTCCTTGTCCTCATACCTCAGCTCCTTGTCCTCATATCCCAGCTCCTTGTCCCATATCCCAGCTCCTTGTCCTCATACCTCAGCTCCTTGTCCTCATATCCCAGCTCCTTGTCCTCATATCCCAGCTCCTTGTCCTCATATCCCAGCTCCTTGTCCCCATATCCCAGCTCCTTGTCCTCATACCTCAGCTCCTTGTCCTCATATCCCAGCTCCTTGTCCCCATATCCCAGCTCCTTGTCCTCATATCCCAGCTCCTTGTCCTCATATCCCAGCTCCTTGTCCTCATATCCCAGCTCCTTGTCCTCATACCTCAGCTCCTTGTCCTCATATCCCAGCTCCTTGTCCCCATATCCCAGCTCCTTGTCCCCATATCCCAGCTCCTTGTCCTCATATCCCACCTCTCCAAGCATGGGGGAGGGAGGGGGGGAGGGTGAGGTGGACACAGGTAACATTATTTACACTCACCTGGAGGTCATTGTTGGTGATGAGGCGCCTGATAGAACGAGCTGTTGGTGTTGGCTTCACGACACACACGTGTACACCTGAACCCCACACCCGCTCCTGTAAACACAACACCGGGTCAGTAAATATAGTGCACGCACACACACGCACGCACGCACACACACGCACGCACGCGCACACACACACACACACACACACACACACACACACACACTCAGGGATATGATCACCACATTCAAGATTCTGAAGGGAATCGACAGGGTAGATAAAGACAGGCTATTTAACACAAGGGACACACGCACAAGGGGACACAGGTGGAAACTGAGTGCCCAAATGAGCCACAGAGATATTTGAAAGAACTTTTTTAGTGTCAGAGTGGTTGACAAATGGAATGCATTAGGGGGTGATGTGGTGGAGGCTGACTCCATACACAGTTTCAAGTGTAGATATGATAGAGCCCAATAGGCTCAGGAACCTGTACACCTGTTGATTGACGGTTGAGAGGCGGGACCAAAGAGCCAGAGCTCAACCCCCGCAAGCACAACTAGGTGAGTACACACACACACACACAGTTCCCAGGCAGGAGTACGAGGACAGCAACAAGACATGTATAGATGAACTGCAGAGGGCAGCAACTATAGCGCATAGAATGAGAGCGAAGCTGCTGGTCATGGGGGACCTAAATCACGGAGAGATAAATTGGGAAACGAGGAATCCCCATGGCGGGGAGGAGACCTGGGGAGCGAAGCTGGTAGACGTTATTGACAGGAATTTCCTAACACAGCATGTGAAGGAAGGCACTAGGGAAAGAGGAGGGGATACGCCCAGCCTGTTAGATCTCATTTTCACTCAGAATGTAGAAGACATCGAGCAGTTGGAACATGAAATACCACTAGGAGCTAGTGACCATTGTGTCCTAGTCTTTGACTACATGATGGAGCTTAAAATTGTGACCAAAGGAGAAGAGGTCCGGGAAAGGAGACTTGATTACAGAAAAGGGGACTACAGAAGGATAAGGGACTACCTGGGAGAAGTGCAGTGGGAGGAAGAACTTAGAGGAAAAACAGTGCAAGGTATGATGAACCAAGTCATATTGAAATGCAAGGAGGCTGAAGAGAGATTTATTCCAACAGTAAAGGAAAAAAGTAAGAGGGAATATAATAACCCATGGTTTAATAGACAGTGTTAGGAAGCAAAAGTGAGAAGCAGGCGGGAGTGGAGGAAGTACAGAAGACAAAGGACAGAGAACAACAGGATCAGATACAACAGAGCTAGGAACGATTACATTAACATAAGACGAACATCGGAAATGGAATATGAGAACGATATTGCAATCAAAGCAAAAAAACAACCTAAGTCACTACACAGTCATATAAGAAGAAAAATGTCGGTGAACGACCAAGTGACAAGACTAAGGAAGACAGAGGGGGCATATACTGAAAGTGACAAGGAAATCTGCGAGGCACTGAATGCCAGTTTCCATGGAGTGTTCACTACCGAGCCTGAGCAGCTCCCATTGTTAGAAGGGGTTACCCTAGATGAAAGACTATCAGATATAGAGGTGACAGCAGAGGAGGTAATGAAACAGTTGACAACTCTAGATGCAACTAAAGCAGTTGGACCAGACAAAGTATCACCGTGGATACTAAAAGAGGCAGCGCAGGCCCTCAGCGTGCCTCTGGCAATGATCTTTAATGAGTCACTTATGTCGGGAGAATTGCCCAGTTGCTGGAAGAAGGCAAATGTCGTACCGATTTTCAAGAAAGGTGATAGGGAGGAGGCACTTAACTACAGACCCGTATCACTGACAAGCATCCCCTGCAAAATACTTGAAAGAATAATTAGGCTAAGACTTGTTGAGCACCTGGAGAGCATTGGGTTTGTAAACAAGCACCAACATGGGTTCTGGACAGGGAAATCATGCCTAACAAACCTTTTAGAATTCTATGATAAAGTAACAAGGATAAGGCAGGACAGAGAAGGCTGGGCAGACTGCATATTTCTTGACTGCCAAAAGGCCTTTGATACAGTACCGCACATGAGACTGCTATACAAACTTGAGAGGCAGGCAGGAGTAAGTTGAAAGGCCTTAGCATGGGTGAGGAACTACCTAATAGGAAGGAGCCAGAGGGTAATGGTAAGGGGCGAGAAGTCGGACTGGCGAACAGTAACGAGTGGAGTACCTCAAGGATCGGTGCTGGGACCAATCCTCTTTCTAATTTACGTAAATTATATGTTTACAGGAGTGGAATCCTACATGTCAATGTTTGCGGATGACGCAAAATTAATGAGAAGAGTTGTGACAGATGAGGATTGTAGGATCCTCCAAGAGGACTTAAACAGGTTGCAGAGATGGTCAGAGAAATGGCTACTGGAGTTCAACACGAGTAAATGTAAAGTTATGGAAATGGGATCAGGTGACAGGAGACCAAAGGGACAGTACACAATGAAGGGGAACTGCCTACCTGTAACGATTCGAGAAAGAGACCTGGGAGTGGATGTAACACCTAATCTAACTCCTGAGGCACATATAAATAGGATAACGACAGCAGCGTACTCTACACTGGCGAAAATTAGAACTTCATTCAGAAACCTAAGTGAGGAGGCTTTTAGGGCGCTTTACACTGCCTACGTGAGACCAGTCTTAGAGTATGCCGCGCCATCATGGAGCCCCCACCTGAAGAAACACATAAGGAAACTGGAAAAGGTTCAGAGGTTTGCGACGAGGCTTGTCCCAGAGTTACGAGGGATGGGATATGAAGAGCGCCTGAAGGAACTGAACCTTACGATACTAGAAAAAGTAGGGAGGGAGGGGGAGATATGATAGGAACGTATAAAATACTCAGGGGAATTGAGAGTGGAAATATACGAAATGTTATCAGGGAATAATAACAGAACGAGGGGACATGGGTGGAAACTGGAAACTCAGATGAGTCACAGAGATATTAGGAAGTTTTTTTTTAGCGTGAGAGTAGTGGGAAAATGGAATGCACTTCAGGAACAGGTTGTGGAAGCAAATACTATTCATAATTTTAAAACCA